CTTGTAGTGTATTACAAAAAAAATTGACCCGTTTGTGGCATGTTGTATGTTGTTGTTGTTGGCTGCCATTCAATCGGCCCCCGACTGATGGCAACCTTGTCCACAATGGATTGGACCGTTGTGATCCATAGGGTTTTTATTGGCTGATTTTTTGGAAGTAGATTGCCAGGCCTTTCTTTCTAGTCTGTCTAAGTCTGGAATCTGCTGAAATTGACTTGATGGCAGTGGGAGTAATTGTAATTCATGGATTAATTCATATTGCTTTCCTTTGTGATGAAGATAATAGTTTATTTAAAAGTTCAGATAAGTACAAGGTCTATGTATGTAGAAGATGAAGGTTTTAGGTTTATTTTAAAGATGTAAATATAGTTGTTATTATATTCTGGGCATTCAAGTCACATATGAATGTTACTAAAAAAATTACGCTAAGCTACTCTTCATCCAGACTGTTTAAAAAATAACAATATTTGAATTTTTTGAAAGCTAGTTTAAACTTGATCTTAAAATCTAGCCATGATTAAGTGTTTACATGAAAAGCATTAGTGGATTGCTCATTGGATTTTTACCCTTCCTTCTAATGGAGCTCTTTTTGTTACTTAAAACTGTTTTATGTTCTGTATGTTTTAAAGGCATTGTTTTAAGCTTTATTTGTGATTAAATATTTTAGACTTTCATAGTGTGAAATCCGTGAGTTCATTCTGCATTTTGGTTGTTAACAGATAGTGACCAAAGAACACATTTAAAAAATTACCATTTCATTAAAATAGATTGATGGTGGGTTTAATGTAAGAAATACACAAAACATGTGCTTTGATAAGTATCTTTTGTTTTTACTGGACTCTATAGCCAGATTTTTATTTCAGCAGCTATAATTTAAATTTTTTGAAATTAAAAGATTTCTTTTTTGTTGTTTTGGTCATTTTTTATTGGTCTGTAATCTTTATAGTTACTGTATCATACTGCACATTGTTTGCTGTTTCTAGGAATTAAAATCTACTTCATAGTAAATTCGTAATATACAAAGAAACATGTTTATTAAACATTATTAGGTTGGGAAATTAAAGTGTAGAAATACATTCTGTATTCTGGGTAACAGAATAAGAAATTTCAAGCATCGTCAACTTTAACTTTACCTCACTTCAGGAAAAATGAGTAATCAAAAATAGCAGTGGTATACAGATTATATTTTTGCGTGCTTTTTTTTTTTTTTACTTTTATTTGATAAGAGCAAGAAAATAATTTATTTTCCTCAAACTGATAGGAATTATTTGACTGGGCAGACAGTTACTGAATGCCTACTGTGTATAAGACATTCACTACTGTATATTGGGAGACGTTTGTGTTGAAAAATGAATAAGGCATAATTTCCACTCTATTTAGCGGTCTGCTTTGATAAGTTTTTTAATCTTTGTATTTTTAGTACACATTAAACAGTTTTTTACCTATAACTCAGATTACCAAATAATTGAGGGAAAAAATTGCTAGAAAAAGTACAGTACTGCTCAGATTTTGAGAGATTTTAAGCCATAAGTATATTATAA